AGACAGGTTACAGTAGAAGTATCATTGTTTCCCATAAAGTGAGTACTCTGGCTATACAGAGTTTATCTCGTTTATCAGAGAGACAATCTGTGGAAAATTCAGCAGCAATGATCCTCATCTGATTGTTTCTGCAGTCAGTTTTTTTTTCTCTCTTCGTGGCTGAACCAAATCACAAAATGCTGAATAGTAGACAGATTGAAAACTGCACTGTGGAATATGGCTCTAAGGCGCAGTAATTTTAATAGATATAGAAAAACACTCCCCTGGGTTTGCTCCAATGTTACTAAAACTCATGTTGGACATCTGTTACTGCCAGTGAATTACGAAGGAAGTTATCCACTGAAAGGGAATGGGTGGCCCAGTGAGCTGAGTGCTTAAGGTAAATGGTAGCTGGATTGATAGAAAGGATGACTGATGGTAAAGGCCGAGATGCAGTGCACAAAAGCCTTTTGACCACAGACATCAGGGTGACTGGTCTGTAGCTACTGAAACCTGGGATGCTGAGTTTCTTAGGGAATAGAACGTCGGAGCTGCATTAGGAGCGGTAAAGAACCGTTAGACAGCTCTAGAGACTTGTCAAAAATCTGATAGGTGTCAATTGGTCTGCACAGCCTCTAAAGCATAAGGTATTGTGTCTTTCGTGACCTTTTAACTCTGGTAAAGCCGACATATATCTTCTGCACATACCTTTATTGCAGGCAGGGGGGGGCACCAGGATGAAGGAAGGGGATTAAATATGTAGAGTTGGTGTCAAAGGCTGCAGATAATCATTGTGAGTGGGTGATTGGACAGAGGGTGTGAGAGGCTGTTTTTTAAACTTGCAGGCGAAATTTTAAGAGTCTAACAACCAGATAAAGGGGGGTGTTCTGCTGGCCTTTCTGTTCTGATGGAGAGGAATTGAATAAGAAAGGCATGGATTTTTTAAATTTCAGAATAATTCAGCGTCTATATTCATCGATGATTATTTTCAATCCTAATCATGTCAGTAATCAAATACATGAAATAAATAAATGAACAAATTCGCCATAAAATTTTGACTTTTTTTGGTAAGAAATTATTTTTGGCTGCATTTGTAGTTTTTACTGTTTTTTTTTTTTTTTGCAAACAACCTGTCACAAATCACTGAAATGTACTTCTGATCCTCGGTTTTCCAGAGATAAAATAACGTATTGCACAAAAAAGATTATTAATAAAACCTTGCATATTTTTATTGTGCTGGAATTTTGGTTCAAAAACAGAAGCAACAAGACAAATTGAATATAAGCACATTCTTTATTGACCTGACCATCTGAGAAGCAAACGGCTTAAATATAGTCAATCCAGGAGGAGCATATCTTAATAGAAAAACAGACAATGATGCAGTGTCACTTGTGGATGTTCTACACGATGATAAGAAGTACATGTACTGTATGTTATGCCTTTTGACAAGCCATTTACTGAGGCTACTTAAAGAAATTGAAGCAAAGCCTGGAAAAAAAAGCGTTTAATGTATTTTGAAATAGGTTGCATTTATTTAAAAGCATTTCAAAAGAATTTATTTGTGCTGTTCATAAAAGAAAAACTGTAAACATGTAAAAACTATAACTAACATTTACTAATACATAAATAACTTGTATCCCATCATATTGATTGGTATGTTAAAAGGTTTAATAAATGTTTTGTAGCTGATGTGTCAGTATCCTGAATATGCAAACATGAAAAAATAACTATCAATCTGTTATATAAGTAAATCTTTTGTTTTTTTTCTTTCAACTTTCATATTAGTTTCTTTCGTGTTTGCTAACTTTTTCCTTTTTTATTATTCCTCTCAAATTATGTTCAGTTCTAGTCCGAACTAGAACTAGAATAATATTGATTGAGAGTGAAAATGTACAAAGGTTTACATTTTTTTCTGGACTTACCGTAATTGTTTTCCACACAAAAAATAATACTTACACCCTCAAATCCATGCACTTTGTTTGTAAAAATGTCCCTCGTCGTGTTACACCTTAGCTACCATCAACAATCTCATTGCAATCTCAATTTTGGCAGGATAGTTCACTTCTTTCATGGTTGGGCTAGTTTAAACTGATGCAGTCACTGACACTGGCTTAGCCTTTAAGCATTTTAATGTTGGAAAACAATTATTTTACCTTATTAGTTTTAATGTGTTCATGGGTAATTGATATAATTGGGATGGTTAAACTTTAACACTAAGTACGTTTCACAAGGTTACAATCATAATGATAATAATATGAGTTAAAGTTGAATAATTTTGAGGTATTTCTCCAGCTGTTTAATGCAGCAGCACCAACAGTAGTGAAACAGACCCAAAGCATGGTGCAACTTTCACATTGCTTTAAAAATTCAAAGTTTAACTTTGGTTCTAAATATCGTTCCTATATTTGTGGTTAACCGTTGTCTTGTCTTACTTTAAAAACCTTCTCCACAAAGTGTTTGGGTTGTCTGAGCGGGTAAGAACTGGAAGGCAAACATTTTGGAGGTTGTTCTTCATTGGGCAGCACCTTTTGAGTCACCATCACTGTTAAACCTATTCAGTAACAAGCCTTTTGAAACAAGATGTTAATGAAATACGAACAATTAGTTTATGTTTTTAATACACAGATCTGCCAGTAAAATGTAACTACTAATTATGTTACATTTAAACAAGTGAAGCAGTTACCTTCTCATATATAGTAGAGCCAGGCTGGTTTGAATTGTTTTCCCTTAATAAAATAAGAGCACTAATTGAAAACTACTGTTTGTATTTACTCTGGTTATTTTCATCTGATGTTCAATCTTGTGTCATGATCTAAAGCATTTAAGTATGACAAAAATCATTTACAAAATTTTTGTGAAAGGGGCAAATATTCCCACCGCAAAAAATTCAAACATGTGCATCATTTTCTAGAGTTGAAATATTTCCTATATTTTAGTAACTATTTCTGATCTACTCCTAATTACTGACTGAACTGATAAACATGAGGACCAAATCTTCTCCAAGTTATATTATATCACTCTGGATTTGGAATATATTTTTGCTCTTAGCTGTAAGATGCAAACAGATGCTTGTTTAAGTTAGACAGTAGGGCATTAAAATACACCAACTAAGCTATGTACCGGTAAACAGAATTTAGAGTGAACGAGAAGTTAAAATAGTTTGGTTCTCTTTGGTATTTTCTTCTGTAAGTTAATGAACATAAGAACAACCAAGCTGTTTCCAATTAAATCACCCAACGATGGAATCTCTAAAGCATTTATTTGTTTTTAATATTCATTTAAAAAAAGACATTCTGGAACAGCAGATCAATACATTACACAATATATATCTATACTGAAGAGAATAATTGACATTAATATCTAGTTATTTTGCAGAAGGAGGAGTATGCTTCATCTGATAAGAATCTATTTCTATTACAATTTCCACAAGAGGTCAGCAAAGCTTTATGTTTATAATAAATTGTGTTTTCGTGTCATTGGGGATTACTTCATGCTGCATGCTCTGGAGCATATTTGTTTAGGATTTTCAAGCTGTCACAAACCATCCCTACATTTCTATCAATCTTTGTCAACCTTAAACATGCCCTCAGGGCCACATCGCCTTAAAAACCCAGGACAGTTTTTTTTTTTTTTTTTTTTTACATTTGCCCTTTATCAAAATTGCCCAAGAGTTTTTCATGTGAATCGAAATATCAAATTTGAGAGTTTCACATAAAGGCCACTTGCTTTGCAGCAGTAATGCTTAGGGAATGTGACAGTAACATTATCTACAAAAGCAATTAGTACACATACAGTGGGGCCTTGTTAAATTCCTTCAGTGTCAACACCTTTTAGCATGTTGCAAATTTAAACCATACTGAGTTTTTCCAAGTATCATATATCAATGCAAAGTGTTGTGTAATAGTGAAGCGCAAGCAAAATAACAAATGTACACATGTGTGGTGCGTCCTTATTTGAAACATTTTAATATAGCCCTAGACAAAACTGCCCTCAGATGTCACCTAATTAGTACATAGAGTTCACCTCAACTGCTCTGCAAAGATGTGGCTTAGTAGATATAGCATCAGAGAACAATAAAGTATCTTAAAGACAAAGAAACTTACCAGACAGATGAAAGAAGTCATTTTTTGTCATTTATCGTGTGAAAACAAGAATATTCTGAGCTATAACCAGTTAAGATCAACACATATTGTTCTTTCATTATAAGATTCATTGAAAATTTGTTGGTTTTGCTTTTTTTTTTAAAGTTTGATCAAATATTCAAACTGAAACAGTTATTTTGGGAAAAAAGAGATCTCAAGCATCTCTATCTATAGTTTTGCATCGATTAAAACCCTTCCATCCCCTTCAGACTCAAGGGATTTAGTATCTTATATGGGCTGGACTATCTTAAAAAACAAAAACAAAACAAAGCAAATACAGGAAAATCCAGAAACTCCTTAAAATGATCTTTGCACACTATCCATGTGTTGAAATGGCTTTCTGTGGATTTTCTTGTACAGAAATAGGCATAGCCCTCTCATTCCGTACATTCTTATATCTGGTCTATATGTTTTAAATGTAAAAGCAGAATGCTCATTTAGCATTACATCTTTAAGGCTATCTTGGACCAGTTGTTGCTTATAATGGTCGAAGGGGGAATTTTTTTATTATCTACACACTGCAAAAAACATCTGGAAATAAGTAAAAGAATTCTTAAGTTGAGTGTATTTACCCTTAATTTTAGCAGATAGATAAGATGATTTGCCAGTGGAGCATTTTCACTTCTAAAATAAGATAATTAGATAATATGCATTTAAAATAAGACAATGCAATGGTGTTTTCCTATTTTAAATGTAAATTGTCTTTTTCCATTGGCATAGTATCTCGCTTACCTCTTCAATTCAATGAAAAATGCACTTAATTTAATCTAAAATTACTCATTTAGATTTCAGTTTTTTGCTGTGCACGTCTGCAGCATCACATGACATGAAAACGCGCACATCAACCCCCCCGAGCATATAGCTGCAGGAATGTTACAACTTGAAACCTTTCTTTATATTGAACAACCATCAGGCTAAAATATCAACTGTTAAAAAACACAAGAAACGAGGGAGCGTATTGGAGATTGAGCTTTATTTTCTACATAGACTTGCCCTTTGTCGTCCAGTGATACAGGAATGTAAAGGATGCTGAGCGTCCACCTGATGGTGCTTTGCGCCCGGGGGAGGGTCTCTCCATCCTGCGCTCTGCCATAACTCGGCCCAGCTTTGGCAGGCAGACGCGCATCCTTAGAGAGGTCTGCTGGAAACATGATCACCAAGGGAATCTAAACACATTCCTCGGGTCTGGTCGGACGTGTCGACATCTTCATGTGCGAAGCGTTATTCTCCAAAGACGAGAGAGCAAGAGTCGAGGCGAGGCGTCGGATACAACAACAACAAGCAGAAGCAGACAGCATCAGCCGCTGCAGCGTGAGCAACGAGGTCAGCGTGAAGCTGCGCGGTAAGATGCGGACAAAAACACAGGCTTTTCACTATGCGCTTTATGCGTAAACGGCGACTCATTTAACGCTATGCTGCTTTACGATTTCCTTGACGATTAAAATGCGCTCTACGCGTTAATAACATTCAGGTAACGCAGGATTGGTCATTCTATCTATGCTCTCATCCATATACATCGTCAACATGGGCCGTAGTAAATATGGGTTACTGGAGCAAATCTATGCGCCCATTAACCTCTAGCTTGTAATATGGGATTAGGTTGATCTCAATACACACATCCAGCTATTGTAATTTGTTTTTTAAATGTTACCATAGCGTAAAACAATTAAAAATATGTGGATCCTGTTAAAATAATAGCAAGACAGCTGATGACATAGGAGAATAAAGGAGAATATACTACAGTGTAGGCCTCTGGCATAGTCCTCTCTTATTATAGTGGGTACTGTAGCTTAAAGTCAGCAGAGAAAAGCAATATAGGCTACAATGAATATGTCCCCCTGCAGATTACTTCTGCTTTTAAAGCTATTTTCCATATTTTGTCTCACCAAACAAATTTCAACATCTTAAGATTACCCAACACATTTAACAACTGTTTGAATTCTGAAATGCCTAAAAACCTTAATATACAGTAATAGTTTCACCCCAGACCATATTTAATCATCTATTAACTGTGATAAAACACATTTTTGACAACTGGGTATACTTTTGCTTGTCTGCAGCATCAAGAAGTGCTTTTTTGGAACCTGTAAAGAAATATGAATTAGACTTTTTAATCTCTAAAAGCTAAACATCATATCAAGATCTTAAGCAGTTCTTTGAACACAGGAAAAGGAAATAATAAATCACTGCTATCCATTAGTCTAGATAAGAGACAAAAGCCATTTATTAGGCTACGGTAACAGCAGCGGAGAAAACTTAAATTGGTTTTGTTCCTTCCTACTACTGTGAGGAGGCAAGGGATTTTAGAGCAACTTCTACACTAAATCAGTCAATAGTTTTTAGTTTTTTTAGATTTATATATCAAAAAGAACCAGGGAAAAATGTAGATGCATTGGAGAATTTTCAAATTAAAAACCGCTGCTTGCCAAAAAAAAAAGGCATCTTGCATCAGCATTCGAAATGTGTATGATTGAGAAAGGTTTTGGGAGAAAACATTTATAAGAATTATTAGACTAAAGTCTAACTTTTTAAGGTATGTTTACTGTTGTGTCAACTGTTGAACCACCACAGCATTTTTTAGAAAAAAATACATTTTACGTACAATCCAACATGGCTGCTTTGCTACTTTGGGTTCCTGACAAGTTGCAGTCATCAGCTGTTTTACATGGACACAAATAATTGAATTGAAGGCCTGATCAGATCAAAATGTTTCATGTAAACATTCTAGACTGAAGGTCTTAATGTGATTCTGTTAGATCAGAAAGATTGTGGGAGGTGTTTTTTTCTGATTGCCATTCTGGTTGTCGTCCATGCACTAACCTATTTGGATCTTTGGAGTAAAATCGACATCAGCATGATTTTTTTTTCCTCTACTAACCTTCATTCACTGGCCCCTGGTTCTCCTTGGTGGAGGACGTGGCTCTAAATGTAAAGTGTGCATAAACATGCCATCCTCTTCTCTGCCCATGAAGCAAAGGAGCATTAGCATAAAATACAGCTGTGCCCTTAGTTTAACTAAATGACCACTAAAAACAAAATTATGATGCAACAAAGATACATAGTAGGAAAAAAAACAACATCAACAGATTGAATAACCGAAGAAAAACAAATGTGAGGGTCGGTCACGAATAGAAGCTAAAGATGAGGATGAGTGGAGGAATACGGGTTTGTTTACAAAACAGGCAGCTTCTTCCTTTACTAGTAAAGCCTTCCTTGAAAACTAGGCAGTTCTGCGCATGTTCAAATTAATTAATCTGAGCGAAAACTTGGTATATGTATGCACAGGTCATTAGCGGATCATTGTATTTAGTGTCCATGTAAAAAGAGATTTTGAACTTTCAATCAACAAAGATTTAGATAACATCCAAGAAATTTTGCACATGTAAAGGTAGTTAATGATGGAACCATGAATTCATCAATGCCAAATGAGAATCTTGAAACAGAATTTATGACCAAGACTTAGCAAAAAGGTTTAAATCTACAGTGTGTAATAATTACAGGGATATACATTTAGAAATGTAATATATTATACATAACTATTTATTTATCATCATCTACAAGCTCAGCCTCTTAACCTTAATATTTGCGTTGCCTTAGAATTTGTTATTTATAATTACATAGTGATAGTGATGTCTGCCATGGAGGCAGACATCTTTGCGCTACGGCAGCGCAGAGCCAACAAACTAGCAATTGCGAGATTGCCCATTACAATAGCATGCTGCGTGATGATGCTGTTACCCGCCAGTATACTTATTTAGCAATGTCCCTGACGTTTCACAGGTAATGATTCAGTCATTTTCTGTAAAATAATTTTCTGGATATATACCTCGGTTACTTCTCTCTGGCTCCTTTGGAGATCTTCAAGCCTTTCCTCCTCTGCTCGAGTCACCCCGCTGGCTCCTCTCCCTCGCCTGGCCCCGGCTGCACGCCCTGCACTGCCCTCTTCCTCGCCTTGTAACCCCCGTGCCACAAACAAGACTTGGACTCTGTAAACGGGGAATATATATTTTTCCAACAAACACAATCTCGCTGTTAAACTAATGAGTACAATTACTTCGTCTGTTTATATCACCATGCAAAGCGGCTCACCAAAACGTCACAACGATGTAGAAAAAATAACGGGTATATTTATTATCTTAAGTCTACATGAAATCTATACCCTACTCAGACTAATGAAATACTATCTGTAAAATTATCTATGTAAACAAACCTCATCACTTGAGAAGGTAGGTGATGTGGACGTCGTGAAAGAGATTTTGTCCCATAACGCTCGCCGTACTGTTGGGGGGGAGAAGCCGTGGGGGGGAGATGTTCATGTTGCTGCGGTCTGCAGTCTGGACGTTAGATGGCGCTGAAAATTACACACTGTAGCTTTAATTAAAGAAAACAATCTAAATGAGAAAGATAAAAAAAAGTCAAAATGTGGACAGCATCTGTTTAAAGATTCTGTACCTCCAAAGATCTCTTCTATGGAAAACCTTTGATGTTGTTGTAATTTATAAAATAAAATATGCAAGAAGGACAGGTCCACAAATATCTTGTAGCTTCTAAAGGTCTTATTGACAGGTATTAGAAATTCTAAATGGGAATTGTTTTTTTTTTCTTTTTTTTTTCAAAGTTTATACAGAGTTTTTAGTTCAGGGGCCAGATGTGGACAGTTTATTTCCCTAGAAAATGAAATCATAAAAATAATATATTTCTGAAGTAACATTTTGGATTATGTTTAACTGTGACAAAAAAATAAATAAATAAATTGAAGGAATCTGTAAGGGGGGTAAAATTTTTTCACAGCTTTGTCATTTTGCATTGACAATCGTATTTCTTCTTCCAGTTATTATTATTAATGCTAAACACTTTAATTGGAACATAATATAGAATAACATATATATTGTTTGGACATGACAAGGTAACATCCAAGAGAAAAGCAATGTCCAAGGTTTGCCAGCAAAACATTGTCCAAGTAATCCTTTTCTATTGTTTTACTATTAAGTTGTAGTGCTGATTAGGGCTGCAAATAACGATTATTTAAGGTGATACATCTTATTTTTTCGATTAATCGATTAATGACCAGAAAGCAAAAAGAAGATTTTTTACGCAATTAAACCAAGTGAAAATAAAACGTTCCACTTGAGGAGTTCTAGATAGGGCAGATTGACTGACAAAAATTTTGTTATTTATCTTATATGCACAATATTTACATATATTTGTACAATTTCAGAATAATTACTGCTGTAAATGTCTTGCTTTGCCAAAATCACGATTAATCTGATTCATTGTTTCAGCCCTAATGGTCAAGTTATTGTCGTTTCAGTGGTTAGCAAAAGTTAGTAATGACACTCTTACTGCAACATCTCATGCAACAAACTGTCTTGAACTTTTCTGATAATTTTATACCACAACCAGCAATAACCTTTTTAGCAATTTGATCTACAGCAGCTAATCAGGTACAGTAGGACAGACCTTGAGAAAACACCCTAAAAAACAGCAGCGATCGCAACATAACTAATTTGTTTCTGCTTCTAACAACTTTAAGAACAAAATGTCACTTTCCTGCCTAACACATAAAGCAATTATTTAAATAGCATTTATTACAGGCTTGAATTATTTTGCCTATTGACCATAACCTGATTCACAATAACCTACATATCAGCTTCTTTCTTGATTGAGTGGCCTATTAAAAGCTGATGTTAATTGTCAAATTACCTCAGAATATTGAGACAGTTACAATATACCCTGGAGGGAGTTCTCATCCTATATTTAGACAAAAGATGTAAGATACTTTTCTTGGGGGAGATATTTCAGCATCCTCAGTGAAATAACAAGGTTAGCATATTGGTAATCTGACAGAACGTAAAGGCATTCTAAGAGGTTTTCTTTAAGTTTGAATAGAATATGTTTTTCAATAGAATAGACGTCTCACATAAAAAATTTTTGATTTAGTTTTGAGTTGATATTATTTAAAGAAAATAAAGAATTATTTAGAGGTTCTTGATGTTTTTAGTAGTTAACAAGCAAAACCTCAACCTCATGTAAAGATGTATTACAGTATACATAGTGGCAAATATTTATAGCCTTTTTTCTTGTTATTTTGATCATTACTGTATGCTTTTCATATAACATAACACAACTAGCAAGTCATCAGTCAGAGCTGATTAATCTGAATAAAGTCTCATTACAGTAAGCAGCTGACATTAACACTTCCTTTGGTAAAATGTGTTAGCTGCTCTATAGTTGACTTGTCAAAGCAGATATTTGGTTTATATATTTTTGTTAGGTGTTAGGCTTTAGATGCAGCATAGGCATTTAACTTTGTTACTTTACATTAGCAACAATACATAAATA